CATCTTGGGCAGGAACTAGCCCGTATCCCAGGTCTGGGTGCTCCCTCCTGTGTGGCCCACCTCTGGCCTATCAGAAACACTCCCAGATCTTTTCTCTTGACAAACTCGGGGAGCATGAGCTTTCCTTACTCAACAGCCTTTTTCCAGAGCCAGAACTGGACACAGTCTCTCAACCTTCAGATTTTTCCAGGTGTGGGTATGACCCCAGATCTCTGTGTCCAACAGGTTGCAGGCTGCAGGAGACATTGAGACTCTCTTTTCTCACCTCGCACAGATCCAGGGCATAGTGCTGTGCCTGGGACACTCAGTAACTAGAACGGGCCATGTGGCGTAGTGGTGAGACTCAAAGACTCTGTGTTCAAAATCTCAGCTCTGGGTTCCAAGGCCAGCTCTGCCATGTACTAGCCATGTGACCTGGGGGCGGCTACTCGGACCACTCCATGCCTCAGTTTCCTTATTCATGTAATAGGGATGATCCTAGAGCCTATCTCACAGGATTTTTAGGAAGATTAAATAAGAAAAAATTTGTAAAGTGTTTATAGCAGTTCCTGAGACATTTCAGGCACTATGCAAGTATTTGCTAATTAAATTCCAGGAGAAAAAGAGTTTGAATGAATAACAAGGGCAAGTTAATGAAAACTTTATCAGGCATTCTCCAATTTTAAGAGTTCTGAGTTCTTGCGTCCTAACTCTTCACAACCCCTGAGACACAGCTGGTGTTCTGGGGAGGTCTGGGGGTCTTGCTGAGCCCCAGCTGATACCCAGTCTTGTTTTACTCCAAGTGCTAGGAATGCTACAAAGTATGTGTCTCTGGAGGGTGACTCAGGGCGTTACAAGGGATGACCACAGAAAGAGTTCCCAGACGCAACTTTTCAGAAAGGGTTTCCGGGAAAAGCAACATCAGGGGTGGACACCGAGAGTTGCCTTTGGCAATATTCTGCCAGTCCTGCAGCCTAGTTATTCCATATCTTGTTCTGTTCTGTTCCTTACTCTGAAGATGGCTATCCTCCTGGATTATGGGACATTTCTGAGTATCTGGAGACAATTAATTATCCTAGGCTTGACATGCCTGAGGGGCCAACACTGAAACACAGAGAAATGATGTAATTTAGCCAGTCACGTAGCACGAGGGAGGCCAAGCGGGGTCAGATCTCTGGACTCCAGGCTTACGTTTAATCTGATGAGATTCACCACCATGCTCTTATCCCAGCACCGACTTTGTTTTGTCACAGAAGCTGCTAACATAATTTCAGAGATGTGTGCCCGGATCATTTGGTGAAAATGACGTTACCAGGAAGTTGAAATACTCAAAGCTTTGGAGAAGGTTGTGTAGGGGGAAAAAAAATCAAAACAAGACCAGAAATCAGCTATAAATATAAACAAAAGGGAAACTGTTTTACTACGGACAATATGGAGAAAGGATAAAAATATGACTATCTCACTGGTAACTTCTAGAACATACTAAGGTTGGTATAGCTTCCAAAGTTTTTGATAGCATGAATTCAGAATAAACAATTTGCAGTTGCACGTTTGCATTTATGCTTGAGTCAATTTGTAAATACACACTTGTATTTATGTCTGGCCACATAGGAATTCACTTTTAATTAATTTATTTTTTTACAAGTTTTTTTTTTTTTTATTTGAGAGAGAGAGAGAGAGAGCAGGAGCGGGGGAGGGGTAGAGGGAGAAGCAAACTCCCCACTGAGCATGGATCCCAGGACCCTGAGATCATGAGCTGAGTTGAAGACAGACGCTTAACTGACTGAGCCACCCAGGCACCCCAGGAATTCACTCTTTAAAAGAAAGTTTTATGAGGTCTCAAAAAAAGTTGGAAAAATACCCATCTTCTATTTTTCCCTACTTTTTCTCAGTCCCTTTTCTGATTCCCATTGAGTGAGGCAAAGGGTAGGAAAAAGAGAATGGGTTCTGAAATTGTATGGACCTAGGTTCAAATCCTGAGCCTACTACTATTGGTCTGGCCTTGGGCAATTTGCTTAGCCTTTCTGAACTTCCGTTTCCTTATCTATGGAATGGTGGTAATTCTTACCTCACAGGATTGAGGTAAGCAAAGCCTTTACCAAATGCCTGATTGACAATAGACGCTCAGCTAAGTATGGGTTGCATACTTATTTAAAATGCCAGTTTAGAATGGATTTATCAAAACAACATGACATTGATGCAAAGATAGACGATCAAAAGAACAGAATAAAGAGCTCAGAAATAGACCTACACATATACAGTTAATTGATTTTTGACCAAGCTTTCAAGACAACTCAATGGGCAAACGACAGTCTTTTCAATACATAATGTTGGAGCGATTGGACAACCATAAGCAACAAAAAAATGAGTCTTGATCCATACCTCGTCTTACATACAAAAATTAACTTGACATGAGTCATAGACCTAAGCGTAAGAGCTAAAGCTGTAAAATTTATAGCAGAAAATTTCTGTGATCTTGGGTTAGACAAAAATTTCTTAAGAAACAAAAAAACACAAACCATAAAAATTTTTGATTAATTGGTCTCCATCAATAAAAAGAAAGTTTTGCTCTTCAAAAGACACTGTTAAGAAAAGAAAATGCAGGCCACAGAGTAGGAGAAAATATCTGGAAAATGGATTTACTTCTTTAACATTGCTCTCTTGAAACTGTGGCTCACAGTAGATATAATTAATAATTCTTGTGTGTCGACGTCCTCTCCCTGATAAAGTGCACTTTGTAGAGGCTCTTCCTTCCTCCCTATTTATGCCATTATTCACTGCCATAATTCTCCTAATACTGTTATGAGTGAGAGCTGGAGAGAAGATTGAGCTATGTGTAATGAGGTTACAAGCCCCACAACTTAAATTGTATTCTTGGTGGGAGAGAAAAGAGCAACAACAAAAAAATCTGGAGTCAGGCACATGCGCATCAAGCAACCTGAAGCTCTTATTAGCAACAAAGCACTCTCAAAGATGACAACAAAAAGCACAGATGGAGCACACACATTCTGGCAGATATGGCGCCAAGTGCTTTGCTTCATTTCACTTAAGCTTAGGAGAAACAGCTACACATAGAGTCAGCATGGAGTCCCAGAAGAAGCAGAGACACCAAGCGGGCATCCAGCAGAGTTTCATCTGGGCTGTTCCCTCCCTTATGCCTGTAAAAAGATTTTGCTCTTCCTAAGTCTCAGAATTGCTTTGTCTTTTGGACTCCATTCTCGCTCTTCATCTGCCTTTTATTGGTTTTATTGTCTTGGGACTGTTGGCTTGATTTGGGGGATTTCTCTTATTTGAAACTTTGGCCTCTGTTTGGCTTCCTGGCATCAGGCTCCATGCTTCCTTGCTCCTTAAGTCTGCTCTCCCTTTTTTCCATCTCCTCTCTGCCTCCTCAAAGTTTCCAGTTTGCTGTGTTTGGCCACTTTTGGGTGATTACTAAACTCATATGTCCCAAAGTACATAATCTATGATATGGGGATTCACAATCAACAGACATGTTTCTCCCGGGTCTCTCTTGTTTTGGTGACCCTGACAAACCACCGTAGGCATAGCCAAAGATGGAAGCTGTCAGGTACTTAAGATAAATACAAGTTGGAAAGGCCAAATCTACCTTGGTCAAGGTAGCTGTGGAACTTTTCAAGCATTGATACAACCGTAAGGGATGTCTTTGTTGGTGTGAGCAGAATCCAGTGTATGGATGATCTTGGTGTTGGAATGGTCAAGGGTTATTCCTTGAAGCCAGTTGTGGACGTACGGGTGAACACAGCCTAAACCATAACACAAGTAGACCAGTGGGGAAAAGAGCATCCTGTGCTCATTAGCCTGCTCTTTCCACAGGTATCCGGACAGACTTAGGGCCAGGCGCTAACCTGGGTGGCTTCGTGTAGCAGCCATGAACATCCCAGTGTGTGGGCTATGTACATTCCAGATGGGGAAGAAGATATTGCCATGCTCTCCCCCAGCTTCAGTTGAACAACAGCAGAACCACGAGAAATGTTTTCTCTAGAGTCGATTCCCCAAGACAGTCTGGCTGCAATTCATAGGCCACCAGACCACTGGGAACAGAGCATCCCTCCCAGTTTACTTTAACTTAGAATAATAGCCTCTCAGAATAAGCATCCCGGGGAGCGGATGCAATGACATCAAAGTCTTCAATTCTTTTTCCAATTTTGATCACAGCGACCATTTTAACACAAGGTTTGCATAGGTTTTAAAAGCTTGAACTGTGCTCAGCAGGTCACCAGAAGAATTTCTGCTCCTCCCCTGACCCACCAGAGACAGCAAAGAGATGTGTGGATGGTCTCTGTGGGACGCTACGGAGGAGTAGCGATGTGCCATTGAACAGGAGCCCAACCTGCCCACAGTGTCTTGCACCATAATCCATTTTCACTTCACACGGGCGACTGAAAAGAATCTGGAAGGTATATTTTAATTATAAAAAATAAATCTATGAGCTTGATGCAAAAGACGGGTAGAACCTCTCCATGTTTTAAAAAGGCTCCCCTGTACCAGGCAGCCTTAAATCTTAGAATGATGAAGCTGACAGGGATTCAAAAGTTCACATGGTTCATCTAATTCTCCATGTCGAAGCTCCCACATCCAGCAATTTTACAGATCAGGCATCTGAGGCGCAGAAAGGTTCAGTAAGGATTTATGACATTTGCATTGTTAGTGGAAGAACTGAAACATAAGCCCGAGTTTCTTGACAGTAAATCCTGCACTTGCTTCCAAATGTCTTTTATCCAGTCGATGGTATTTGACTGTCTCTGAAAACCTGCGGAAGGCATCATGGTTATTCCCCAAGAGGGAGATGAAGCACGAACTCATTTCGAATGAGAGTGGACCTTGGGATAACAGTTCCAACTGGGCACATTCTTTCTCCTCTTTCCACTCATTTTCAGGGCCACCTGGAAACTTTGGCTCGGGGCGGGGGGGGGGGCGGAGGCGAGGAGCAATCCCCGATTCCCAGTCTCTTTCTTTTCACAGCTGCGAAGTTCAGTGAGTTGAACCGCAGTGCTGTTCACTCTGCCACGACCAACCTCTGTTGTAAATCTTCCTCCCAGAACACGTGACGATGCATTTCTTGACTATATATCCCAAGGGCAGAAGCAGAGTTGTCAGAGCGCGGAGCCCCGCAGAGAGGAAGGACGCCCTCAGACTTGGCCATTTAGCAACGCAGGACTTCGGAAGAATTTGCCAGCCGTGGGTAAGTCAGCAATGCAGCTGGGCTTCAGAAACATTTGAGAGAGGGCTGTTTTGTGCAATGAATAGATGAGGTTTTCCTTCCCTTTCTCTGTTCTTAGGAAACTTGGCTTTGAATTAAAAATAAGCTTATGTTTGAGAAGCAACATGTAAGCTTTCTTTTTTTTTCTCTGCTCAGTTAGAAAAAGTCTCCCAGTGACTAAAATGTGATTTATTTTCTCTATGCTCCCTTGTCTTAGACTGATTTTCACCTCTGGCTTTTAAAATGATCAAAGCAACGCTTTTTACGTGCTCACTTTATGAAGTGCAGATACGAGGACACGTATACTCTAGGAAAGGAAAGTCCTTGTCGCATGTCTCCCTCTCCCTCTCTGCCTTCCCTCCATCCACCCCGGCCTCTCATACCTAACCCCTGTTAGCTGTTTTGTGGGCCTTCTTACCAGGATTTCTCCATGCAGTTACCAGCTTTTTTGATGCTGCAATTCCACAAACCTGCTCAGCCTCCTCCCTGCACCGCGGGCCCGTGGGAGAGTTCTAACCTGCAGGTTTCTCCCCAGACCCTGGCTGTGTGCGTGGCGCTTCAATGCTGAAGATGGAGCCTCTGAACAGCACGCACCCCAGCACCGCAGCCCCCAGCAGCCACCTGGTGTCCCACGTGCCCGGCAGTGAGAGCGGCAACGGCAACGAATACTTCTACGTTCTGGTGGTCATGTCCTTCTACGGCATTTTCTTGATCGGAATCATGCTGGGCTATATGAAATCTAAGAGGCGGGAGAAGAAGTCCAGCCTCCTGCTGCTGTACAAAGATGAGGAGAGGCTCTGGGGGGAGGCCATGAAGCCGCTGCCCATGGTGTCGGGCCTGAGGTCGGTGCAGGTGCCCATGATGCTGAACATGCTGCAGGAGAGTGTGGCGCCTGCCCTGTCCTGTACCCTCTGCTCCATGGAAGGAGACAGCGTGAGCTCCGAGTCCTCCTCCCCAGACGTGCACCTCACCATCCAGGAGGAGGGGGCAGATGATGAGCTGGGGGAGACTTCAGAGACGCTCCTCAACGAAAGCAGCGAAGGGTCCTCAGAGAACATCCATCAGAATTCCTAGCACCCCCAGGGCCCCTGGAGGCGGCCCCATCAGCCAGCACCCTTAGAGAGAGGAAGGACACTTCTCGTGTCCGGTTTCACTTTTACAGGGCAGCTGTCACTTTAAAGAGACCGTTGGCGAGCCCCTGCGTGGGGGCGGTGGGGGACAAGACTCCACTGGAGTCAGCAGCCAGGAGTCTACGCCAGGCCTGTGGTGCAGACCTGCCACTGAAAAGCCCCGAAGATGTGCAGTGTGCACCTTGACTTTGGGGCCTGGGGCTTGGGGTTCCAGTTCCGAATTCGGCAGGTTGCTGTGCTTGCTGTTGTTTTCTCGCTGGATGCCCTGGGTAACCCCTGGGGCATCTGCCCACTCCCAGGGCTGCCCAATGCCTAGAACATGCAGAGGGACTGGTTCTGATCTGCTAATCTGCCTAGAGCTTTGCTCTAGATCTGATGGGCTGTAAGTACCCCTACGGTGTTCCCAGCAGGTTACAGAGCTTCCTTTGGAGGTTTTTTTGGGTTAGAGGGGGATGTCTGATGGAGGGTTTTTGATGGCAGAAAGCTGGAGAGTCAAACCTGGTTCTTTTGCATAATATTGTAAAAAAAAAAAAAGCAACTTTGACAACCTGTTAACATTAGCTGGGATTATAAAACAGAATCTGTTATTTTGAGGCTTTGTCTAACCTATGACCCTGGACTCTGACCTCAGACCATCCAGCATCGCATGCTGGCATGACGTTTTCTTGGTTGGAACGGCTTCTCCAGAATCGAACCTGCACTCTGAATAGCTGTGCAGGGGACTCTTCCTGATCTTTCTAGAAGGGGTGATGGTGGGGTTGAACAAGGCCAAGCCATTAGCTCTGCTGCTGCTTTTTTTCCAGCCTAGTTTTCTGAGCTGGGAGCTGACATAAAGTGGGCCTCCACGATATGGCATTTTGTCGCGTAGCCGAGACCTAGAAGGGCATACTCAGGTGGAGTTGTACAAAGCGGGGGTCCAGGTTCTGTTTTCCGATCCCGAGCCCTGACACTGATATGCTGTGTGGTCCCGGGCGTGTCATCAAGAGGCTTACTGCCTTTATGAGACTCCTGAATCTACAACCCCAGGGGGCTGGGAGGATGTCTTTGGATTTTAAGACTCTGTGATAAATCCTGTATGGCCTGGTGTGAGGAAGCTTGGACAAAATATTTCCCACTTGGCCAGTTAGTCTGAGAACAGATCTGCTTATTTAAAGTTGCAGTTGGAGACTCAGAACACATGTAACTGGGAAATTCAGGACGAATCACCACCCCGTTCATGCTGTCATTTTCCCGGCAGTGAACTAGGGAGGCAGGTATCACATTTTACTCTGCAAAGTTCCCTGGGTAGTAGAATGTTAATACTTCAGCCGAGAAACCAGAAATCTAAAAGCAAATGTTCAGGAATGCTTGCTAATATCTCCGTGTATTCCTGCGGTCAGTAGCTTTGTAACAGACCCATTAGGCCCTTAAAGGCAAGCAGGAAGAGAAACACACCAAAAGGTCAAATTTAATTCTAGTAAAAACAAAAAAAAAAAAAAATTTTTTTTTTTTTTTAAACATGCTCTTCCTTGATTGAAGATAGCAGTAACTACTGTTCCCATAAGGGTTAATAGTAGATGAGCTGGTTTATCAGTTTGCCCTCACACAGTGCTAGAGGACATTTATGTTTTGGGGGAAAAGGGCCCTCCGTTCACTTTAAAATTCAGAGTGTGGATTTACTCCAAAGGGGGCTGTTTGAGGTGAAAGAAGCCAAGTTCAGTTTGGCCCCTTGCCTGGAATCACTTGAATTCTGAAGCTTTACTGCGAGGGACATGTGCGTTGTCACATTTTCCATTGCTTAATCCTGAAGTTTGGTGCAAGTCTATCTGCGCCTGTTAAAAAAGTGATGTATATACTTCCTTCTTATTCTATTAAGTTGTATAAAATCGTCTTCTGTATTTAACAGTTTGTAATTTTCACACTATTTTTTAATTTAAATAAACAAACACATTTTCCCGAAGAAATTATGAGCTCTCTCTTGGATTCTTCAATATGATTCCTAGTTTCCAGGACATCCCAGACATTGCCCAAGCCGTCTCTGGATCCGGGTCATCTTTCCGGGTCAGACTCCCAGGAAGGTGCATCTTATTTCTGCCTGAATCATGGAGGGAGCGGGACTGGGCTTTCCCATCCTTTGATATGCTTTGCAATGAATAATAATAATAATAATAATAATAATAATAATAATAAACCCAAGCTGCAGATGGGTCTGACACCCTCCTCTCTTTTACATTTGGGGGCTGTGGAGCCCTTGAATTTGAACATGCAGAGGGACAGGGCAACCTGGTGCAAAGATGTTGCTCCAAATTTGGTCGCAAGGACACATCTGGTTTGCATGTTGTCTAGGCAAACATGACCCACAAGTGGCCACGGCAGCACAGACTAAGGGGCGGGGAGCCGAGCGGTGCACACAGCCGCAAAACTTCTGAACACAGCCGAGCACGCGGGCCTGAGCCGGGGTTGTCGCTCCCGCCCCCTCCCGGTCACCTGACCCGCTCGCTCCTCCCACTTGGTCTTGCTTTCGCTCCGCCCCCCAGGCTGAGGTCCCGCCAGCCTGCTGCGGCCTCTCTTTTACGATTTTATTTACACAGTCGGAAGTGCTGAAGAAAAATGACCGAAACCAGTGACCCATTTTGAGTCAAGGAGATGGTAGAGAGTGACCTTACTTTTATGTTTCTCCGTTTCCTGTGAGTTTAGCTTTTCAATTTCAAGTAAATGTTTCTATTAGGTTCCCAAATAACTGTCTCCCTAAAGTCTTTATCTGGCAAAAATACAGCGGAGCCTGGATTCTTCTCAAAGCACATCCAGGATCCCAATTCACCAGTTGGTATTTTGACAATGTAAGATGAAGACATGATTTTAAAAACAAGAAAGCCTTTCAATTTATCCGGGCTTAATATGTCATTCTTGGGGAGGAAAGAGTTAAAACTTTTTTTTTTTTTAAACCAGGGGCGGAAGAAGAGGGAATTCTAAACTCTAATTGTCCTAAAAATATGCAGAGTACACTATGTCGTTTTAATGGAATATTTGTTTTCTTTAAAAAAAAAAAAAAGAACTTCTAAGCAGAACCTAAGGCCCAAGGGGTTTAGTCTGTGTGGATTTACTCATGCATGTGAAAATCTGAGAAGGAAATTTGGCCCCACGCACCTAGGATATTAGAAACATATTTTAAAGCACTTAAATGTTAGGGATGAGGTAAATGGATCATCCTGCTTGCTCCATGCTGTTCTAATTACACCTTTGTACGTCAGAGTCAGGCAGGGATGCTGCAGAGAAAAAGCTTTCTTTCATGGACAGAACCATGGGATCCAAATTACTGGGAAAGGCTGAAATTGGGCCAGGGAAAGAGTACTCTTGGCTCATGATTCTGGTTGGAAAGTAGACCCCATGGTACATTTGAGAGCTGCAACTGGAGGGGTTTGTGGTCAGGCGCGCACTCCCAGGGCTCAGCTGGAGAAGGGTCATTTATCATCCTGTAAAATGTCACTCCAATCATAGACATTGTGGAACAGACAGAACATTGAGCTTACAATGCAACTGATACTCCAGGTAGAGACAGAGCCTACATTTGCCTTACCCGCAATCTAGGCAGCCAGCTGGAGGAAACTACAGGGAGTCATGGGTTATGGGACAGGAGGTGGAGCCTAGGGCTGGAGGGAGACATGTCAGCTCATTGACCAGGACAGTGGCTCAGGCAGGGGCTGGACCGCAGGAAGACAGGGTGTAGATGGGGCTCAGTAGAGACTCAGCCTTATTTTGTCTGGCTTTCTAGTAGCCTAGAAGAAAACCTCTGTGGCTTTGTTGCTCTGGAGCTGTGCAGAAAGTACCCAGCCTCTCTGACCTGCTGTCTCTCTCTTTCACCATGAGGGAGACATGCTGGCCTTTCTCTTTGGGGGTGGGGGAACTGCTAATGACAAGAATGGTGAAACCACCTGCGAAATACTGAGTGCTGCATGAAATTAAAGGAAAAGCAGCTACAGGCTTCTACTTTTTAAAATGTATCCTGGACAGACATCTGCAAATTAAAGTCACTGAACCTTCTCTTCTGTGCACGGTTTCCTCAGGAGACGGCAACGTTCAGGAAAATGATATGATTTGCCAAAGAAGAAGGTCATAAGAGAGAAAAACCACTGTGCAGTTTTGCCTTTCCCCATTTCTGAAATGTTTCTTCCCACACAGGAAAGAACAGTTTGGGATGTGAGCTGTTACTATGGAGATAACTAGTTGAGGTCACTTGTTTGAAGGAGGAGCCCATGGCCCCATGGCACTGAATCATTAGAGCAACTTTATGAAGTTGGGATTTAGTCCTTGACTCAGGCAATGACAAGCTTTGAGCAATGGCAGCCTCCATTCATGGCATAGAGGAGGGGATGCAAGGAGAGCATTGTCCTTTCATCCTGTACAACTCTGTCTTCCTCCTCTTTGCATCTCTCCTGCCCCATCCAATATAGGGCTGTTTTGTTCTCCCAGCTCTAGGAATTTATTTTTTTACCTTGCATTTTCTTGTTAAGGAACATGATTAAAGAATTCTTCACATCAATGGCCATAGACTTTTCTGTCCTTAATGGTTTTCCATCACTTATTCAAAGATGGTGAGTGGCATGTTCTCTCTGGTCTTCCTCTGTTCCGGCTGCTATCACAAAGTATCATAGACTGGGTGGCTTATAAACAACAGAGATTTATTTCCCATAATTCTGGAGGCTGGTAGTCTGTGATCAGGGTTCCAACATGATCAGGTTCTGGTGAGGACCCTCTCCTGGTGTGTAGGTGGCTGACTTCTTATATTCTCACATGGCAGAAAAGGCAGGAAGCTAGCTCTCTGGCTTCTTCTTATAAGGGCACTAATCTCATTCATGAGGACCCCATCCTCATGACCTAATCATCTCCCAAAGGCCCCACCTCCAAATACCATCACACTGGGGAGCAGATTTCAACGTGTGAATTTGGGGGAAGGCATACAAATATTCTGTCCATAGCATCTCTTTCCCCACCTCCCTCCTTTTCCTCTCTCACTTCCTTCCATTTCACAAAAGGAATGAAAACAACAAAAAACAAAACGGGAATGAAAACAACAAAAAGGAAATAGTAGCCACGATGCATTATACTTATTAAGCACTTACTACATGTCAAGCATATGCGTCACCCAGTTGTTACAAGCCTGTGCTTTGAGTTCCTACTATTTTTTTCTAGGTACTTCTCCAGGTGCTGGGAAAAATGTAATGTCTGCTTGGCCTCCAAAGAGGTCAAAATCTCCCCATAGTTGATTTCCGGTAAAAAAAATAACTCTGGGGGCGCCTGGGTGGCTCAGTTGGTTAAGCGACTGCCTTCGGCTCAGGTCACGATCCTGGAGTTCTGGGATCGAGTCTCGCGTCGGGCTCCCTGCTCAGCGGGGAGTCTGCTTCTCCCTCTGACCCTCTTCCCTCTCGTGCTCTCTGTCTCTCATTCTCTCTCTCGCAAATAAATAAATAAAATCTTTAAAAAAAAAACTCTGTTTCTGATTTATTTATAACATTAAGGCAGGGCTCTCTGGATGTAAGAATACATAGCTTATGTCTGAACAGTTTGAGGATGCTATGGTGTAATTAAATAGACAAAATGTATTGCTTACTTAATATTTGCCTTGATATGTGATAGGTGCTTTCCCTTTGATTATCTTACTTAATCCTTTCAAGCAGACTCTGAGCTAGGTCTCTGATACTGTTAATGTAGGTATGAAAGTTGAAGCTCGGCGATGGTAGTTGCCAACTAATGTAATGAGTGTTTGGGATTCCAATGTAGGCCATTTGATATAAATCTGGTATTCTTTAAATCGCTGGGAAGCAGAGAGCATGAGAGTTGGAATCTGGTCCCTTCCCAGACATTAGGCAGCTCTGTGACATTGCAATGATTGCTCAGCCTTTCTGGGTTTCCTCCTTAGGAAAATGAAGATAGTTATATCTTCTCTCTTGACCTCAAAACACTGTCCGAACCATGTATGAAGCAGCTGGAAAAGTAAAAAGTCTTTGTCCTTGATAAGGGACTGCATGTACACATTACTAGCATGCAGCAATGTCCCAACTCTTCTCCCCTTCTGAGAACATGGAAATTTCTCCCTCTCCTCCCCTAACACTGGGGCAGGGATATGACTCATTCTGGTCAATGTAAACTTAGTGGACAAGATGTATGTCACATATCAGCTCAGTCAGTGATATTTTCAGTCCCCTCCTTACTTACATGTAACTAGTGAGACCACAGGTTCCAGGTGGTACAAATGATAGTTGGAGCCTGAATTGGCCTGGAATGGTACTACACAGGAGGCAATTGCTGTGGAGAGTTGCCTAAACCTGCAGCTGGCTTTGTGTAAGGCAATAATAACATAAGCTCTGGTAAATATTGAGAAGTTGGGGGGTTTTCTCCTGCAGCAGAACCTCACCCTTCAGATTAAGCAGGGCACGGCAATATTAGAGAGACACAGAATGTCGGAAGGTGCCTTGTACACCATCTAACCCAACCCCTCCGTTTAATGATGAGGAAATCAAAGTGCACAGTGGCTGAGTGACTTGTTCAATGTCATAGAGGGAGACAGGAGCAGAGCTGGGATCACAACTCAGATTTCCTGACATTTGGTTCAGGATCCCCGTGGTGGGCATAACCATGGAGTTCTCTGCCAAGGCTTAGTGAAAACAAAGGGCCTAGGGGTCTTCTCACTTTGAGCTTCCCTGAGCAGCTCTGAGTCACTGTTGTGCCTCTATTTGCTGGTCCCATGAACTGTGCCAGGAAGTAGCTTCTCTTTTCCTGGTCAAACCTTGGTACTTACTGCTCCTTGTGGGGGGATGGATTGGGGCTGGCAGAAGTACCACATTCCCCCAAAGTGGTGCAATGCAACATCACTGGAAACTTTAAACTTTAATAAAGGGGAAGAAGCTGTAAATAGGAGGAGGGAAATATTCAAACAGGGTTGAATGTTCTTGTCCTGTA